GATGTTGGGTGTGTGGTCCTGTGTTTTGTTGGTGTATATTTAATATACTTCTCTCTCAGTTTTTCTCTCTCTCTATTTTCTCTTCACTTTAAAAAAATCATAATGGTGTGGAGAGGATGGCTATAAGGGGAGAAGGGAGGCCATCCAAAAAAAAAAAAGACAAAAAAAAATCTCCTGGTCAGCCCGCAATCCATCTTGTGAAAGGGTGGGCTGAGAAGGCTCCCATCCCTCTAATCGAGGCAAAATTATCAGCAATTGTATTGCAATTTGGACAGCCTTCAATGGATCTCTGTGACATTATCAGGCTTCAAATGATACAGCCCCTGAATTTAGAGACAGCCACTGTGAGGTTTCTACATGTAAATAATACAGAGTGATAYATCGAGCATCTGAAAAATGGCAGCCAAAGATCTCGTCTAATGCTCTCATTGATCACTCCGGTGTTCCTCTGGTTTAGTGGTCAGCAACACATTTGCTCCAAGAGTGAAGGAATCTCCAGCCAGCTCCTCCAGGAGGGTGTTGACAGTCGATCAAAGGGACAGGAGTTCACTTGGAGGCCAGGATGACTGGTGCTGACAAAAAACTTGAAGTGTGATTAAAAGGTTTGGACTTGAGTATCATTCAGCAAGACTAATTGATTAGGATGGCCTGAGGGAGGGATTTTTATATAACGTGCCTGCACCATCCTTTTTTTTCTTCACAAGATTTCACAAATTTTCATTTCACTTGCAACTAGTTTAGCAAAACAAACAAAAACAGCTAKTAAAGGCTATTTAAAACAGCACAAAAAGTAAGGATGTTTGTGTTTGGTAGGTTATTTCTTTGTTGTAACAATGATCCTTGGCAATACATCTTATACCATTGGAAAGCCTGTTCATTTCCCTTTTAAATGGTGCCACATTTGTTAGGAACATGCATTTGTGGGATGAGCATTGGAGCGGAGTATATGGGTTGTGCACATGAAAAAAATTGCCAAATCTTATTTGTCATTGCCAAAAAGCTTATTTTGCTGTTGCTACTGACACTTGCTATATTTCCTCATAACAGAAATGTTCATTTAGTTTACAATTCATTTCTAGTTTTTAATAAAAGCAAGATGTTACTTTTATCCTTTGGCATTATCAGAATGACTTGCTATATACAGTATTTCTATTGTTTTCCTGAGATAGTTGTAAATTTAAATACTGACTTCTGGGTTGGTTTTGGCTACAKCCACTGCAAAAGGACCAAAGAGCTGAACGTGGCCCTAGAGCCACAGGTTGCAGACCCCCTGATACAGACACACGAGCGTGTGTGCTCATATGACCACTAGGTGGAAGAATGCAGCTTCCCTACATCAGAGGTGCATGTGTGGGAGTTTCAGTCCAGCAGGATTCATCATCACTGTCATGCCAATAAACTCAGTCTGTGATGTTCCAGAAAACCCCCCGAAAGAGTCACCGACATAAAGGGCACACGTTTGAAGCCAAAATATCAGAGCTCTGAATCCAGTTCGTTTCCCCTCCGCCTCATGCTTTAAGTTTTTTTCCTCTCCTCCCTAAATTCT